TTTTCTTATATTTTGTACATATTATATTAGTATAGGTTTCACATATTTTGGTCTTGTATTTTGGACCACATAGAGTAGCATTTTTGGGCCATAGGCTTATTGGGCCTAGTTTTGGGCTTCATGGGCCTTTGGGCTTTTGGTACCCAATATTAGGCTCATTTTGTTTCTTTTATTATTTCCTAATGTTTGTATATGTTTGGCCATTTTATTTAGGCCATTAGCATAAGAATATTGAAGGAATACTAAAATAGACCAAGAAGCTAAAATCTAGGTTTCATTTAGTAGTCATTTGAGATGCATTTGGATCACATGTTTCTTGCCAAGCATGGCTGAACATGTGCAGCTCCAAATACACTTTAAATGTACCCTAAATGACATTTAGATGCATGGCAGTCCCATATTCACGGACTAAGCACATGGAGCCTTGAATTTGAATTCAAATTTCCATTTGAAATTTGAATTTTTGGCTCCAATATTGGCTACTGAAGTTGGTGCCACCTAGCTTGCCTCTAGGATCTATAAATGCTTGTTCCTTCACTCTTTGTAAACACTTTGAACATTTTGTGAGAATTCTGAACATTATTCAGCAACTCCTCTCCCTTCAAAGTCACTTAGCCGAATAGGTTCTTAGAACTTCTTCTAGGAATTAGGTCAAATTGTGAGCAATCTTTTCTCCCTTGGCAAAGGTGCTTCCGGATTCCTTTGTTTCTCTCATTCTTCTCTTCATCTCTGATCTCATAAATCACGTCCCATTGTGGACTCGTAACTCCCAATCTTTATTATCGTTCCCACGGATTGTGGGATCTTATTGATTGTCTGAGTGAGCCAGTGAATCTTCCCATATTTAGGTCCCTATTATGGGCTCGACATTTTGTTGATGTGCCTCGGGTCGGCCAATGGGAGACCACCACAGTACATATATCAATGTAGATATGTGTGTAGGATGTATCCTATTGTGTGGGGATGTGTGAATTCTGGTGTACAGGAAGAAGTGGTAACAGGACTGATGGAGAATCGACTCCAATCTAAGCAAGTATGAATGATTTAGTGGCTTTTGACGACGGGTCCATATATGGAGGTGCAGATCTTGCCGATAACATGGAGGTCAGAAACATGTCTTGTTGTCATGAATTAACGGTGGAAAAGTGGGGGATCACCGTGAAATACTTGTGGTCTATCTGCTAAAAAGTGAGGTTTAACCATGATCTTTTGTTTGGGGGAATGATTGTTGAAAGTGCAATCAAAGTCCCACATTATATGAAAAGGAGGAGAACTATGGTTTATAAAGCGCACACATGTTCATGTTCCATTGATATAAGACCTTTTGAAAGATAACTAAAAGCAAAACCATGAGAATTTAGACTCAAAGTAAACAATACAATACCAATGTGAACATGTATGTGGGGTACCCTCCTTGTTGGACCCTATTAGTGATGTGGGCCTTTGATTGCACCTTCAACAATCCTTTCCTCAAATAAAAGACCACAATTAAACCTCTCTTTCAGCAGATAAACCACAAGTATTCCATGATGACCTCCTACCACAAGTATTCCATGGTGACCTCCTATTTTTCTTGTGCACTAGGATTCACACATTCCCACAAATGGCACCACTTGATTCTACTATTTGAAAACAAGATCAAATTTTTACAACAGAGCAATCCGTGCTCTTCTTAGAACCCCTTGATTTCTCTAACCGGTTCTTTGTTCTTCTCTACATATCTTTTTCTTTTCTCAGTTCTCCATGCTCACACTTAACACTTTACTATTTACACTTTTTCTCTCTATGTTGCGCTTCACACTTGGAAAGTATCACAAGACATATATATATATATATATATAACTCAGGTTGCTCCCAACATTTTTTTCCCAAATAAAAATCTATTTTTTTTATACACTATGCGGCAATAACTAAAAATTTGCTTTCATTTACTTTTGTAGAAATGATTATAACATTTGGGTTGACAAGTGAATGTCACATCGTGGCTGAGCTCAAGATTATAAAATACAAGTAAACTTGTAGTTCATTAATTAATAAGCTTTTTTTTTATAACATCTAGTCTCATATCTAATACTATTTGTTTTACATTACCTTTATTAGGTGAACACGACAATAAGGATGCAACAAGTCATGGAGTTGGATCTCCACTCTTACACACTAAAAAGGATGAAAATCAAACTAGTCGTTACAAATTAGAAAAAATTAGAAACATTACAAGAAAATTGTCATATAATAACACACATCTTATAGTGACACTATATATATCATTAAAAGTTATGTTTATCACATAATAAATACAATATATATTGATATATTGTTAAAAAAAATATGTATATATATATATATATATATATATATAGATCCAAAACACTAAAACTAAGTCTTATAAAACAAAACAAAACCATCAAACTAATGAAGATAAACTATATATATAGTCTAAACCCATCAAACGAAAGGAATCAAACTGAACTTATAAAACTATACAAACGAAAGACTTTACAAAACATATAGATGATACAAAAGATTTTGAGTCACAATCAACAAATAATAATGAAAAAAGTTTTTTAAACACACATATAAGGCAAAAACACCTTTAAAAAATTGTTTTCTCTTCCCTCAAATGTACTATATGAAAAAATTAAGATAATAAAATAACTAAAAAATGAAAGAAAAAAAAATGAGCTGTCACTTGCTTGAGTGTCTCTTAAACTTTGAGTGTCTAAAAAATGTAACTTTATAATTCACTGAAAGGCGATTTTTTGATATCATATTTTTATTGCGGCACCCAATTCTTTTTAGAAGCAACAGTAATAAGTCTTATTCCAGGTTGACTACATAAATTATACGATCATTCGAGTCGGTTAAAAATAAATCTTTAGAAATATTATTCACTATTTAATTCCTTATGACAAGACTTAAAATATCTATCTTAATCCCTCCTCTCCCTTTTTACAAGACCAAAAATAATGTAATTTACTTTCATCACTAGTAAGTACTTCTAGTGACTTTTTTTTTTGGTATGTATCCAAATCACCTTAAGCAATTTTGTATTATTTTTAACTCGATCAATGTTACACCAATATTTCATCATGTACCAACATTTTATATACTTTCTTTCTTCTTGTGTAGTCACGTATCCATCTTAGCATTCTTATTTATGTTATCATCACTTTTTTCTCCTATTTTTTCCTTTAAAGTCCAACATTCCAATCAGATATATAACAGTACAATTAAACTTGTAAGCCTATGACTGCAGCATGCAGTGGATAAGGAGATCTATCAAGCTGAAAGAATGGAAAACATCTACTCTCCAAATTTTGAAAGAATAATATACAAGCTGAAATTGGAAAACATCTATTCTCCAACTTGAAGGAAAATGTTGGAATTAGGAGCATTTAATGTTTATCACCCTTCCAAGTACCAAGTAGCTTAGTGTTTAACTAAGTTCAATGTATGTTAGAAAATTATGATATTTTAATGGTTTTCTTGAAAATAATTTGTTATTTTTTACTTCCTACATTCCAAATTGACTGCAGTTTTAGTACTTGGAAAATGTTCTCTCAAAATAATTGATGTCCTCACTTTTCAATTTAATATTATTTTTTCTCCTAATTTATCTTTTAATAAATCATTTAACTATCACTATTAAAAGTAACATATTTATTGAAAAAGAAATACTATTTTAGTAAGATTGTAAAAAAAGTGATACATTTATTATTATTCTTAATATGTGTATAAAAACATTAAACCGTAGTTATTTTAGGACGAAAGAAATAACTTTGTAACCATTATCATAAATAGATCAATGTGCTGAGTTGATAAGGTTTTTAAGCACATTAAAAAATCCCCATTCTCAATTTCTCACACATACTCTCGGTCTTCTTAAAAGTACTTATAAATTTCTTATGTAAACTTTAGGATATAAGACTTGTTAGTTGTTTGGATAATTTTCTTCATAAACAGTTATAGGAAAAGAAAATAAAAGGAAAAAATAAAATATTTTTTTCTAAAATTAAAATTAGTTTATCCATAAATTAATTTGTAGAAGTTCTTTCATATTAACTTCTCTAAAAGCTAATTTTTAATTTATGAACAAATTTTAATGTATAAAAAAACTTATTTGATTTTTCCTTCTTTTTTTCTCTCTTAAAAATACTTATGAAGAAGTTTATCCAAACAGAAAATAGAACAGCCAAATGACTAATAATTCATTCGACTTACCACGGTCTAGTATAGAATGCCTTTAAACATCATGAATTAGATCTTATAACTTCTGCAGCTCAGGAATAAAGGTCTGCAGCTCAGGAATAAAGGTTCGGAAAACACATTTGTCAATTTTTGGGTATATACAGGCGTGATGCACAGATAACCTTCTGCTTAAATAAAAAAAAACCGTCGAACCATGGGAAAAATAACATCCTTACTGATGGCATTTAAAAAGTTGAGAATAACCTCATCGGCAGAAAATTCAGTGTCATTGATTCATGTTAAATCATCCTCTTCCATCTCTTTTACTTTCAAAGCATCCTTTACTCTCAGCAAAAGGGTTGACTTCCAAGAATCCTACATTGAAACGATCAAGTCATGCAACTTTAGAAACATGGAATTTTATAGGACTTATAAGAGAATAGCAATAAATCTTTCGATAAATCTGAAAATATATTTTTAGCCATCTCTTAAAGATTGCAAAATGTACTTTCAAATAAAATAGATGGATAGAAACAGATTTGACATGGGAATGCTACATGTACTACAATAACTTTATATAGTATGGAACCAATTGATACACAAAAAGTCATACAAGATACTATCATGATCAAGGAGGTCTGGAAATAGAATTAATTTTACAAATAGCAGCAAAAATTAAGGAGCAGAAATGCATCCTTATGCTACAATGATATTCTCAAATCTCCATCATACCGAACAAACATAAAAACACAACCATTGAAAATACCAAATAGTTCCAAAAAGATATGCAGACAAGAATGCTAATAACGTGCAATATACTTTATGGCACGTTGGATATTATGAAACATATAAACAAATGCAGTGAAGGCAAATATGCTAAAATAGTATGGACAGGTACAAAAAAAAGGTGTAACAAATGAAGCTCTCGTGCCTAAGGCAATGATAACAGTAGCCGAGTGAAAAGAAAAAATGAGGATATGTCAACTAAGGTCGTTTGGGTACACATATAATGTGGAAATGATTCCTTCCCCTAGTTCAAAAAGAAATGGGAGATCGAGAGGACAGAAATACAAAGAAATGTCAGAGAAAATATTAAAATAAAAAAATAAATAAAAGATATGTCAAAAGGATTTCTACAAATGGCTGCGTTTGAGAACAATGACAAAGAAGGTATACAAAAGATCAATTTCAAATTGGCACCCATATAAATGTGTCGAAGAACTTGAGATTCTAAAATGGGTTTTACTAAGGTTAGATAAAAAATAAAAAAAAATAATAGAAAAAAAGGTCATTTTGTGTGCATGTTCAAAATTTTAGTATATGATTCTGAAAATCAATAAAATCTTTATTTAGGTCAACATAAATAAATAAAATTAGTGACGTTTTATTAAACTGCAAAAGTTAAAGTCGTCACCATTGCTTAATCATTTCACATACCAAACAATGTAATCATTTTATCTTTCTTACAGTTAACACAAAAGAATATGACAAAGTTTATCCAAATACTTGGGTCTTGGGACAAAGAGAGGTATACCAATGGGGTTATGCTATTAAACTCCTTGACTACTCTAGTAAATTTTTCAACATCTTCCTCGTCAATTGAAGCCACCAAATCCTGAAATTTGATAACAAATTTCAATCAATAAAATTAAACAGTGATCTAGAAAAGAAAAAGAGCATAGTAACAAACCAAGCGAATAGTACAAGGACCATTTTTCTTTTGGGGTTCAAGATGGACAAGGAGTTATTCCATAGTTGGACAATTTAAGAGGGTGTGTATTAGAAAGAATATAAGGGAGTACAGGGAATTAGGGGAATCAGTTAATACTGTTGATGGTTGTCATTAAGACTAGAGCTAATTTGACAAGCTGTAAGTTAGTTTAGAGGTTTTAAATACATATGAGATAGTCAGTCCTTGAGAATTGTAGACAACGGTAGAGGACAGCAGGAAGGTCGAATTTCCTGGGTGTAGAATTCCTCCTAGTACACTTGTTCTTGCTTCTTCTATCTTAGATTTGTAATCTCCCACTCAATCTTGAGAACAGAACACAATCAATAAAATCCCTGTTCTACTTCAAGACTTAATCTAAATATGATCAAGTTCCAATAAAATTGCACCACTTACGGCCAAAAATTTGTATTCACGGGTTCTGGAGAATGTTGGATCCAAGTCCTACATGATCAAAGGAAAATATGATGAATGTTTGTGTGTAAAGTAACACTCCAATGTGAAGAAGAAACACTAAAACTAAAAGCTAAAAAAGAACCTGATAGCGCTCCAAAGAGTTTGTAATCGCAACGGAATCACCTTGAGCAAGCTGGCAGAGGCCAGAATTAAGAAGATGTCCTCTAACTCCATATTTCAACAAGTTACTGTTCAGCGATTGTCGAGCAATATCTTCATAAATCTTAATTGCCTTCTGATATCTGGTAAATATCAAGTACAACAACATACTCCATGCTTTAATACTTTATAACCCACTTCATCCCAAATCAGTTTGTGTAAATGAAGTTAAGATGGTATACATAACTCAATGCAATTATTGGATAGCTTCTAACTGTTTTAAGAAAATAAGTTACATGCAATTCCAAGAGATGCAGGTAAAAGGAAGTTAAACAAGGATAATTCCAAGCATCATATTGAAAACTTGCATTTAAGGGAACAGGAAGAGCGACACTTACTGTTGAAGTTGAGCAGAAAATTGTGCAACTTTAAGTTTGCACTGGATCACAGAGGTTTCTGCATTCCCCCCAATTTCAAAAAGTTCAGCAGCCCTCTCAAAATTTGATTTAGCATTCTCAATGTCTTGATCAATCTCGTATAACTCACCAATTTCCTAAATCCAGAAAGACAAATTCAACACTGCAAATTTCTTTATTTTAAAAAGAACTAATCTCCCTATCAGAACCTCAAACAACGAAAGAACTAACAGTAAACACTAACAACAAAAAAGTACATAAAAAAAAAAAAAAAAGTTTTCAGCATGGGGAAATATAAAAGAGGCACATGCCATCAAGTTTTGCCAAGTCATGTCCCTGTGTGTACTCAACAATGAAAGTACCTTTGAATACTTTGCAGCCATGACATGTCTACCAATCTCTGTGAAGATAGTCACAGCTTTATTTAAGCAGGAAATAGCTCCTTAAACACCAAAACAGAAGTGAAGTTAGCTACGGCACTGTTTGATTATCTTGTTCACTTTTTGATTTTAAAAACCATTTTTTAAAACAATTTCACATTACTCACCAACCAACTTCCAATCCAAATTCTATCAAGTGTGTATTTGGAAACCCATTTGGACCATGTTGAATAGAGGTATTGCAGATTCTAATGCACAAACATAGAAGAAACTCTAAGGATGGATAGGCATTCAGTTACACTAAACCGGTTTCCAAACATACCCTAAGCTTTGAAATTTGATTCCAAAACAAGCATTTTAAAAACCCAAAAATACAAACACTTAAGAAATGTTTTCTCATCTTCTGATTTTATCACTTCGACCTCTCTCAATCCCACACTCCCCCGTGTCTTACAGCACCCTCTCTTCAAGCTATCCAAGTATCCTTGTTTAGTTATACTTTAAAAACTAAAAACAGCTTTTAAAAATAGAAATCAAACACACCCTATATCACTAAAATACAATTCACTGTCTTGCAATTCCTAAATGCCAAAACACCAATCCAACCAGATACGATGCAGTCAGTTTTTCCACTCATTCACAGAGTCAACAAATTGTAACTATTGGATGAAAATCAAGCGCCTCAAATCTCAAATGCAAGTTTTAGGTCCAGTTTACCAAGATGAAATATGAGTCATCCGATCTTAATCAAACGGGTCCAAGCTATTGACTACGTGAATGCATAAAAAAGCTAGTACAGGAAATCCAGGGGAAGAAGCTGAAGAGCACCTGGTGTGGAAGTTTTCTTGTAGCAATGTGCAGCAGCTACATAAGCATTTGCAGCATCGTACTTGTTATCTAGCTGCACTACATGTCATTAGAAAAATAGCACCATATATATAATAAACACAAGGCACGAAACGCAGCTTCTAATGTCTGAAAAAACACCTTCATGTGACATTTAGAGGATTTGACGAAGAGTGAGCCCGCCTTGTCCCCTGAACAAACAAACAAGTGTGACCAAAATATCAAAAATAGAAGAAAAGAAAAAGCGCGTTTAGAAGTGAGAGAGAGACATGATTTGGCGAGTTTGAAGGAAGTGGCGGATTTGTGGAACAATTGGGCGGCGTCTTCGTAGTTGGAACCAAACAGGGCGCAACAAGCGTGGAGCTTGTTCTCCGCTTTCTTGGCGAGTTCTTGTCCCTTCGCTACGTGATCGCCCATAGTTAGGGAAATGCTGCTTTCACTTCACCACGCGATGAAGCAAGCGTTCGTGTGTTGCCATTTGCCAACACAAAAGCCTCTTCTCTTCTCTCTTCTGTCGCGTAAAAACGACGTTGCGTGATGCATCGTCTCTTTGTGCTGTGGATTCACCGGATTGGCTTGTTTCTGCAATTTTTAGGTAAATTACTATCGTAATTTTTTTTTTCCCTCAATTGGTAGTTATGCAATTTTGATTTATTAAGGTTTAATTAATTAAATTAAACCTCATGAATCACAATTGTGTAATAGTAATCTATGTCATTTATTTAATAAAAATTTAAGTTTTAATTATGTTTTTCTTCTTTAAATTTAGGATAATTATTTTATTTTATCTTTCAAATTTAAAAAGGTAAATAGTCAAATTTGTAACACTTCCAATTTTTCCATTAATAATATTATGTATTGGCTATTTTTTTTTATAATTATAGGGTTAGTTATAATAAATGTTTTTATTATATATATATATATAATTATTTTATTTTATTATTATTATTTTAGGGAAGAAAAGTTTAACTTAGGTTAATTGTTTTAAATGCTCGGTTAAGTGAAGAGTTAAGTTTTAAGAAAGGGAGTTAAGTCAGTTTTCATTTTACGCTTTTCATTTTTTTTCTCTTGTACACTTGAGTTTTAAGGAACTAGAGAATCAAAGCTTGAGGGAGATACTCCTAAGATTCACGTCCTTCGTATAACGTCCACTAAGATAAGGGAGAAGTGAGTAGTCTCACTTTGAACATGGGATATATGTTAGGTAGTGAGATTGATCATCAATCTCATCTTTGCTGCAAGTGTTGTATGAAAGGGAATTTCTCGATTTACATATTATGATAATGCATCGTGTCCTATTTGGCATGCATCATATGCATATTTGTTTTAGAATGATACGATATGAAATATGTTGTTAAGAAAGCCCCTTTGTGTAAAAACTTGGGGATCAACCCTTGGGGACAATTGGGTTTGGAAAGTCCTAGTCTCGTCAATTGTGTGCATAGTGCAAAACTTACGTATGTGGCACAACTGTCTTAGTGAGACCCTAGTTGTATGTCTTCCTAGTGTAAAGTGCGATGAAGGTATGACGTAACATGATCTCCTAAGTTACTCTATGTGTTGTCTTATGAAATACACCACAATTTGATTTTTATTGAGGCCACATGCATTAACATTTTACGGTCAGTGTCCATTGCATTGTGCATGTGAATGAATCTGTGTTGAATTCATGATGTTTATGAGGAGATATGTTGTTATCGATTATATTGGATCTTGCCATTTTATAATAATTTGCATTATTACCATGTTGTTGCCATGATTTAGTTGCTTACTGCATTATTGTGTGTGGTTAGTTATTCGATTATATTCTATGTTGTGATCAGTTAAAGTGAGATGTTTCTCACTTGCCATTTCTTGTACTTGTTCTTTTTGGACGTTGTTGTAGGTGAGATTCATCATCATAATGTTGATAATGTTAGTGATGAAGTCTAGTCCTTGCTTTTGGAATTTTGGTCTAAAAGAATGTGACATCGAGGCTTAACTAAAATTTGATTTCTTTTGTTATGCTTTTAGGACAATTGTTAATTCCATTATATTAGACATTTGTTAGTTGTTGTTTAGTTAAAATGTTATACTCTTTTGTTGGAAGACTTGGTTTTTATTGATGATAGATTCCTTTTGATTCAAGTTTACTTATTGTATTGTTATGGTATGTGAGGTATAAATTGTCACAAAATTAGTCCCTCACATTATATATTACACTCAATTTAGTCCTTGATTATGCTTAAACTCAAAAAAAGTTCTCAAAATTGTAATTCAAATCTCACTCAAGTCTCTTTATTAAATAAGCTACATTTTCTTAAATGGAAATGGAAATGCTTACATGATACACACGTGGTACATATGTAGAGTAACATGTGTCACGTAATGTATATTATGTATAATGTAGTATATAATTATAATATAATATCATTTTACTTCTTAAAATTGTAACTCAATGTCACTTTAGTCTTTAAAATTTTAATTTAAAATTTTAATTCAATGTCACTTTAGTTTCCAGATATTATCATAATTTTATTTTAATCAAGTAATTATTACTTGAATATGTACACAATAAAGTGCATTTAAGTTTAATTTATTTCAATAAAGTAATTATGACTTAAAAATTAAAATTGCACTATTTTCTTGAGAGATTAAAAGTGTATTTAAGTTTAATTTATTTTTATAATTGCAATATTGAATGACTTGTTTTTTTATTTCGATCTTATAATGATTTTTTGAATAATAATTATTTTTATTTTTAAAATTAAGGAAATTTTTATTAATTCGTTAATTTTTTTTGTTTGTTTTTCGTAATATGTAAAGATTTATAATAGATTTAAGATGGAAATAGTTTTGAAATTAAATGGATTTTATTAAAGCCCTAACTTACAAATTCAAGGTTAATAGCAATTTTTTAATTAGTGAGAGTTTTTGAAATATGAAATTAGGGGTAGGGGAATTTGAACAATTTTATTTTGAGGATTTTTAATATTTTTTTGGTTGATGAGTTTTGAATTGAATAAAATTTGCAACTTGTAAAATTTGTGTAAAAAAGTCAGAATTTGAGGGCTTGGAAAGGAAAAAAAATTAATAAATCAAATTTACTTAATTTTAAAAAAATTTAAAAAATAATCGGCAACAAAAAATTAAGAGTAAAAAATTATATGGTCATGTCAGATTTTTAATAACTAGTTTTCGCAAAAAAAACTTAACAATTACTAAATTTATATACAAAATCTACTTAGTAAAAACATCAAATTAAACTCAATAATAATACACAATGTATTAGACTTTTGAAAATTATATAGATTAAAAATGCATTCAACTTAATTAATTTGTTCTTCCTTCCACACCGCATTAATTACTAACACTTGTCTTTTAAAATAAAATAATTGATCTTCCTAAGCTGTAAACAGGATCCTGCCAATACTAATGTGATCATATCAAGTTGTGAACTAGCATAGACCTCGTGGCCATGCTAAGTCGGGCCATACAATAGACTAACAAGAGAGTTGGGCTGGTGCTAAAGATTGTCTCCTCAATAGCCATATGGTAATCTAACCCGCCCTGTGAGTACCTGTCCGAACCCGTCCCGATTTGGATAGGAAAAATCCGTGTTTATCGGGTTTGGGTTCCCCCCCGCCCCCGCCTCCGTCCCGCTTAATAATATAATTAAAAAATTATTTATATATATATATATAAACCAAAATTATAAATATTTATATGTAAAAATTTATATTATTTTACTTTTATTTTTTTAAAATTGTTCATATTTATTTAAAAGAAAAAAAGAAGAAAAAAATAGGGGCAGGGGCGGGGCGGGGAAACCCGAACCCTGCCGGGGGCGGGGATGGAGACCTAGATTTTATCCCTGGCGGGTATAAAGGACGGGGGCGGGGGCGGTTTAAATTTGCGGGGGCGGGAGCGGGGAACGAAAACTCGCCCCCGCCCTGCCCCGTTGCCATGCCTACTCCTCAACACTTCATAACTACACACATATATGATACATTGAGTCATGAAAAGTTTAAATTAGAATACATATATGATATTGAGTAAAATATCACATAATTTAACGATTAGATAAATTAAATTTATATTATACAAAAAGTTATTAAATATATAAGATTTGATGTAAATTTGTAGACTTACACTTAATCTTAACGAATCTTAACTCATGTTTTACATCAAAATTTCAACCATTCAACCGTTAAATTTAAAGTTTTTAATGCATAGATCAAATGTAAATTTTAAAAAATTTGAAAATCATTTGATACTTCATTTCATTAATTCAAATTGACGGATAATCATAAAATCATTTTATACATTAGTTTGAATTAATGAAATGAAGTATCAAATGGTTTTTAATTTTTTTAAAAATTTACAGAATTGATCTATGCATTAAAAACTTTAAATTCAACGGTTAGATCATTGAAATTTGATGTAGAACATGAGTTATTGAACGGAGTAAGTTTAGATAGACTTACTCCTAGAGTAAACAGAACCCTCCTATATATATGAAGGATCAAATGACACTAGTATAATTTATACTAATTATTGTATAACTTAATGACTCTATGTTAAAAGTGAATATTGTTAATTTAATTGTTGAATTATAACCATATTATTTTATATGTTTTTGCCAAATTTTGTCAAAATTGAATATTTAATCCCCTTTTTTATCTTTATTTTAATTGTTTGAAAAATATTATATTTAGAGGTGTCAAAATTATAGTAAACTTGGCTCACAAATAAATTTCTTGAGACATATTAAGTCCCATTTCTCTTGACGTTTCTAAGATCATTTTCCTTCCTAGGGGTTTAGTTAAAGGATCTACTAAATTTCTTTCTAGCTTCACATAATCGATGGAAATTCTATATTGTGTCTTAATTATATATGTCTATTTTTTCCATTATAAGACTTATTATTAGCTATAGTTATTGTCAATTGGTTGTCACAATGTGTTGACACTGATGGGTTGTTTCATTCTTAGAGGAATGTTTGCCAAGAAGTTTCTCAACCACTCAATCTTAGTACTAGTCATCTCCAAAGCTACAACCTCTAACTCCATAGGTTATCTAACAATAATAGATTGTCTGATTGATATCCATGCAATCGCATCACCACCAACTGTAAACACATAGCCACTAGTCGATTTTGTTTCATTTGAATTAGAGATCCAGTTAGCATCACTGTACCCTTCTAGTACAGCAAGAAATCCATTATACTCAATACCATAATCCATGGTACCTTTTAAGTATCTCATGAGTCTTGCAAGTGCTTCCCAATGGTCTTGATTGGGACTATAGGTATATCTACTAAGTCTACCTAGTGCATAAGCAATATCAAGTCTAGAGAAATTCATAAGATGTAGTAGACTCCTAATTATTTGGGTATACTTAGATTGAGTAATAGGGTCTCCCTTATTTTTCTTTAATTGAAAGTTAGCATCATAAGGGGTTCTTATCAACTTAGAGTCATAATAATCAAAATTCTTGAGAAGTTTCTCAACATAGTATTCTTGGGATAGTAATTATTATACTATCTCCATTCCTTATGA